ATTATATGTTCACTAGAAGCTCTTTTTATATGGATAATGTGAGACTTCCATTTTTCACACACACACAATAACTATAACAATAGATACCAGAGGAATATAATTAAAGGGATGACTATCAATTGTTGGTAAACAGTACTCCTCCGGTTCTATTTATGAGTCATTTTTACCAACCTCATCAATACCAATACAATAAAAGTACAAGAAATAAAAATTAGTGAAATTTCAAGTATAACCCTTAAAAAGTAAATGAACTATATAATATTTTTTTTATTATTATTATTAATCTAATGACTTATGAAATAGATCACTTTATCTATTTAAAAGATGATCAATGAAGTGAATCAGAGAAAGCACATGCTATTGGTGTTATTATTAGGATGCTGATTATCTGGTCACATCACTTGCGCCTCTTAATCATCCTTCTAGTTGTGGAAGGTTTCCGCCTCTACCCGATCGAGGGTCCTGTCCAAGGATGATTGCCACTGGGATATTGGTTTCACAACGCAGCAGTCATCACGAGCATAACGGAGCCGAATCCTCGTGCTCACGAAAGGGTCACATCACCATAGGCTAATATTGACGTGGCCATCACGTGGCATCAGTCAACCCCCGGGGGGAGCGTGAGTGAACGCATTGTTCATATATAGATATTGTTTTGTGGATGGCTATGGAAGAATTATTTTTAAGAAAGGGTATTTACACAAAAAAAAAAAAGAAAACAACAACTTCACTTAATTACCTATCAATCATCGTATTTGAGAGGATTTTTTTTTTTTTTTAGGTTTTGGCAAATCATTAGATCGGCTCAACATTTTCTTTTTTTACGCGGGGCCATATAGTTTCAATCATACTTTAATTGCAATGCAGAAAATGAATATAAATATAGTTAATCATGATGCAAGAAAAGAAAATGTTATATACATTGCCAAGTTGCTGGACTGATTGGGACAGGTCACTGGCTTTTCCCTCGAAGCACTCGCCTTATTTATCGTATTTCAGCTTTTAAATTGCAACGGAAGCCGCTTTTTTTTTTTTTAATTATTATTTGCATTCAAATTTCTTACTACACCATTATTTTTTGAACGAGGGGTAGTCCCTAGCAGTTGAGAAAGGGGGACTAGAGGGCCATAACTTTTTAATTTCTTTAAAAATGCATGAGTAATATATTCTTGGCCTCTTTAAAATATTATGTGCATTGTTTAGTTCACCAATTATAAACAGCTCTTGTTGTTATAAATAAATACGTAATTGATGTGCATCTATTCTTTCAAAACTTGATTATGATTGTTAATGTTGTGTGTGTTTTTATAAGTACAATGATGAATTGTAAGATATTTTGCATTTCAAATTGTCAATTTAGTTGAAAATGATTAGATTTAGACAAAAAAGGACTAAGCACATTACAATAGTTTGTAGGCACTGGACAATCTCATTTCAATTCTATATGTATTTTTTTATGCTTGTATAATGCTATTGCTCAATTTTTGAAGATATAGTTATCACACAATTCATTTATTTTCAACGAGGTAATACTACATATGCTTGTAAAGTATTAATGTCATTTTATTTTGCTTTTATTTTAAATTCTGATGAAAGAAATTATGGGGATTACTAATAAATTTTGTCAAACATTGTAACAAAAATCTCAAGATACCTTAATCCCATGTGTTTGATATCAATCACAATATTACTTATTTAAAAGTTAAAAAATTACAGCGTGAAAGGTTTTATAAAAAAAGTTGCTTGTTTTTGTAATAGCCAAGTTATCAAAATTCTTAATATGAATGTTTTTACTTCATAATCTTGACCACCTAATTAAAATTGAGAGAGTGACATTTAAGGCTCTTTCAAGAAAATTTATCATCCAATAATGGGCCATCAATTTTATATTGGATATTATTTTGTAAAAATATGCATATGTTGTTATTAAAAGCTGAACTTTGGCTACTTAAATTTTCAAGAAAACCCTAACAAAAAATACATGTTGAGGTTTAGCTCTTGACAACAATATATATAAGTACATATCTGATACAAAATTGATAAGCCTTTATTGCAATAAATTTTCTTGAGAGGGCTTTAAATGTCATTCTTATATTAAAACTCATAGCTCTGCCCCTACAGTGATGATAACAATTTGCTAGACAAACAAAAAAAGGGGATTGATAATATAACTAAAATGATTATATTTTTAAGAAAATTGAATATTATTAGACATGCGCTTTGCAACATACTTCCTCCATTAAAAAATATAAGGCATTTTAAATTAAATCTCACCCCCAATAAAGTAGTTACTTACTTTCAAATTAATTCTATCTTTTCATATTTATTTTTATTAATTACTTCACAATAAATACAAAGTCATTCATCAATAGGAATATTTTTTTTTAAAAGATAATGATTATATCTCAAAAGATTAAAAATGTCTTACATTTTTGAATGAAGGGAGTAGGATTTAAGTCATCGGAAGCTGAGATTGGCGTGAATTTATATGGATTTATGTTTTTTTAATATTTTGCTCATTTTATAATTTTATAAAATATAAAATATTTTCTCTCTTTTTTAAAATGAAAAATTTCATATAAACTCACCAATATCAACTTCAAAGGATTTAAATACTGCAACATATGTGAGATTCTTTTATAATTTTCCCATTTGTTTAAATTATCACATTTTTTGCCATAAAAATTATAACATTTTAATGCAACGAAAATAAATGCACGGGTGAAATGTTCTTGGGTGCGCGGTTTGAGAAAATTATCCACTAATGTGCTCATTCTGTTTGGAACTAAACATATATAATGATGTGACAGGCTTATCTCCCCAAGATTCGATTTTTTTTTTTTTGGTGGGTTTAATTTCAGGTTTGGCATGATCTTTTTTGGGGTATAATACAGGATGATCGTATTATTCATATAGGATATTCGTTTTCCTCAATGCCAACGGTGCGAGAACCACTTTCGTCAGCGAAGAGGGACAAGAAGTATCGGAATCAAAATTTGATGTCCTTGCTGATAGTTCTTAATAAGTCTCTGTCAGAGAGAGAGAGAGGGGACGAATAATGTTACCTTAAAAAATAAAAAGAAAGAAAGGAAAAGAGAAGAAAGGTGGGAGGATAAGAGCGAAAAGAGGACGAATCAGGTGTTTTGGCAGCCCCAACGTGGCGAAAGGCACGGTCACCAATTTCCTGATTTGGAAACCTTAAAGAAAGAGAAAAAAGGAAATCTGCAAATAGACGTCATTTCCCATTCCCCAAGTTTAAAAAAAAAAAGGTGACACGTGTCCTCTTCGCTTCATCGTACTTCGGATGGCGAGAACTCGGCAAGTTGATGGCCATGGTCTTGGGTGGAGTGGGGTCTTTTGAACGTGACGCGCATGACTTCGCACGTCCCAGGTAACCTTCAGGCTTCAGGCTCCGCCAATAATTGTGTCAGTGATAGCCGTCGGATTTAATATTAATCCACCACATCAATGATGGTTCTTGATGATCTCTGATTAAATATTCTCATAATCGCGCACTTTTTATTGATGTTTGACCAAAATTGCGGAGCCTCTCGCACGCGTATAGTTGGGTTTAATCAGTAAAAAAACAGATTTATTAAGTGGCTGTTTGAGTAACTTTAAAAAAATATATTTAAATTATATTTGAAATATATTTTTATTAAATTCAATAAATAGTTAAATCTATTAAATATACTTTTATCAAATATAAATTGAAATTGAAATGGGCAGCAAAAAAACCTATTTCCAATTTTCTATTCATATATAGTTAAATAGACCTCCTTTGTTTCAAGTACCAATCATACATCTTTTCGTTAATTTTTGTGGGCAGTAAATATATAACTAGAATGTATTCTTACCACCTCCTACGGGAATTGTTGAATGCACATCAGTACGTTGCTATAATCGTTTATACCTTGGATTGGATGATTATACGGATCTTCACCCGCCTGTGCAATACTTTACGTGAGATGAAGTCGCTCCTTTTAATTAATTCACACGGGGAAAAAAAATCGTACTGTTAACCTTTTAAAAGGCAGTGTTTTTATATTAGGGTCATAGAAATTTTTCTGAATATGCCTTATCTTTTATTACAGTCAAGAAGGAATATGCCATGCCAATAAAAATTGTCAAACTCATGAATTTAAATAAATTTGTAATATAAATATAAACTCGAATTACAAATTTAAATTATAAATTCATAACAATTCATCTCTATTAATAAATAGCTACTAAAAATTTATTATTAAATAATTAAAATATAAAAATATGATTGTAATTTAATTTAAATATATTCAAAATATAAATTATTGAATTTAAAACACATTTACATTGATAAATTATCATACGAAATATGAAAACTTTAAAATAAAAAAAACTTATTTTTTTTGTTTTCTTTTTATTAATATTAGTTTTTACTTTTTAAGTTTTTTTTCTTTAATTTGAATCATGTTTTATAACTTTTATTAATCAAAATTTTTATAGTATGTACTTAACTCACTCAATTTAAAAAAAAAAATCAATCAACTTATAGTAAGTTTAATAAGCTTACATCTAATTTGAGTTTTTAAATTAATTGACATGATTTTATAAATTAAAAATAAAAAAAACTATAGATAAATTTATTAGTTTAACTGAGTTTATATTTAGTTTAAATTTATGAATGAGTTAACATTATTTTATAAATTAAAAATATTAAATTTAAAGATTCAACTTGAGAGAACAACTATAATCTTAATACACTTAAAAATTTAATAAGAGTATGATATGATATGATATGGCGTTTATTTTTTTTTTTTTCGGCTGGAAGTTTAAAACTAAAATTTTCACACATCTCACAATAGCTGTTCCCGAGAAAAGTTCTACATGCTGTTTCTGCTTTCCAGGAATACCCCTGCTCAAAAAATGCCCAAAAAGATGAAAGAAGGAAGATCTGCCTTCCACGATTAATCGGAAAAAAGAAATCACGTTGAATGTTAACTGTCACGGCACGATTTTTTTCTCCCTGAAAAAAAGCAAAAAGAAAGAGCCCATCGCTGCAGAAACTGACTGGGCCACGTGCCCCTGTCCAAGTATTCTCTGCGCCGATGAGCGAATCCACTCCACCAGCCAAAGCGGACTTAGTCGGATACTTTCCTTATATGGCTCCTGCTGCTTCAGTACGGTTTTGAAACCTCAGTTTGTCTCTTATAATCGATCGAAGCGTTCATCACCAGTAAGCTCTCTCCTCTCTCATCTCTCTTTTATTTTTTTCCCTAGATTCTCGCTGTTCTTCTCGGAAAACAAATCTGGGTTTCCTCTTTCACCATCATTTTCCCTTCCATCCAAAGCTCAGCTAGATTTTTTTATGAATCATTTCTCTCTGTTGTTCATCGATTTACTACTTTTGATTTTCACGATCTTCGCTAAACTTTTCCTTAAAATGTTTCTTGTTTGACTGATTGTAGAACAATTTTCTCTTCCGAAGATCGAGTTAGGGCTAAAAAACATAGACATGGGGAGAGGGAAGATCGTGATTAGGAGAATCGACAATTCGACGAGCAGGCAGGTAACTTTCTCCAAACGAAGAAACGGTCTGCTGAAGAAGGCGAAGGAACTTGCAATCCTATGCGATGCTGAGGTAGGAGTCATGATCTTCTCGAGCACTGGCAAGCTCTACGACTTCGCCAGCACAAGGTGCACGCTAAATTCTCAGATCTTCCCTTTTCTTTTGATCTGTGATTCTGTTCCGTCTTTTTATTTGGACATCCCATTGCACCCGTCTTTAATTCCGTTGCTATATATGCGTCGTTTTTTATTGGTTAATGCTATATTCCTGGTTGAAATGGCACCGATATTCGTGCTGAAGATGATTAAGCGCACCGGTTCGCTAATTTTCTTAGATTTGAGGACAGGATAATTGATGTTTAATGCCAACTAGCGAGATAGAAAACTTTGATTCTGTTGCTCAGAACCACTGTATTATACTTAGATTTAGGACTAGTTTGAAAGAAAAGACGGACAGAAGTTTTAGGATTCCTGCGTAGTCATTTGAGAAGTTGAAATCCTTAATGGAAGTGGAAAGGGGCGGGGCAGGATCTGAGAACCCTTCCACCCTTACACTCTTCCAGCATCTTTTGGCCAGAACAGTTGCTTATGGCTAGTTTTAAATCAGCGGTACAGTTCTGCTAGGTCATACAAATCACAATACAGATAAGTCACACAAGATCTACGTTGTGGCACCTAATTAAATTAAGCAGGATTCCACAACGCTATAAATGTTATTAAAAAGTGTTTGTTGAGGGCATCGCAGCATGATGTAAGGTTTAGTAGAGGTAGTCAATGGCGTTAGACGTGACTACTTATTAGTCCAGTTTTTGGTTCATTGTTGCTAACAACTAGATCCAGACTTCGCATGCTAGTATGTATATATGTATTGTTTCAAATGACATAGAAGTAAATGTGTTAGCCTAAGAAATAAAAGTAATTCTAGTGGTGTTTTATGGAAGTTTTTTTTTTCTTTTGCCTGCGTTTTATGGAAGTAGACTTGAAAAAAATAAATGTACTTTAATTTTTCACCCCAGAAAAAAGAAGCAAATAATGTACTAACGCGCGCGCAAAAGGATAAATGGCAACTTCTTGGTTAAATCAAGCTATATAATTAATGGTACATGTAAAAAATGATTCACGACAACTACAACTACAAGTTAATTAAAAAGACCAGTGAGGTAAAGTTTATTGAGTCAAAATTATTATTGAGTCAAAATTAATTTTGACTCAATAAACAGTGCACTTAAAAATGAATCACAAAAATTACAAGTTAATACAAGACCAGAGGCGATTCAATCAAGTAGCTTAATGGACTGGGGTTCATGTATAGTGTGCCTAGGAAAAATATCATCGAGCTGGTCATAATAATATTCCTACACTGGCTTCAAAAGTAAAGCGTGTCAAAAATACACCTTGAAAATTAAAAAAAAAATGATTGATTTGAGGAAAGCTAATGGGAATCCTTTTCTTCTTCTACCTAAGCTTCTCCTTAAATCCTTAACCTTTTCCTCTTAAATTCTCCCAGCAAACGTTAGCCTCTCCTTTGTCTCTTGCTTTTTCCTTTTATATCTTATTCATATATAACATATTCGAATTCTACATTCACTTTACAGAATGTATATCCAATTTCATCCAAATGTAGGTCGAAGTTGATGTCCATGCATGGTGCATGTTGCAGTCATGCATGTTTTATCTTCTAGGCTGTGCATGAAGGGTATGACTCAACTTTTTGAAACTAACATCCATGCTTTCTGGATTTTATATTATCCTGAGTACAAGACTCCAGTATTTCTATAACTGAGTGCTTGACAACCCCAAAACTTAATTCTTAATGTCATTTCGATCGAGTTGCAAAAAGATCCAATCTCTGATATTGACTGTCCATATCAAATGGATTACTGTCTATTACCTGAGCTATTAAAAGGTGACAAGAACTAAATCCAATATTCCATAAAAAATAATACGAGCAGTGTATATTTTAGTATTTTTAGCATTTTAAGTTAAAAGTCTAGCAAGATAAAATTATAAATTATTAAAATATGTAAAATATCCAATGAAATTGATAATTAACGTTAGGTGTGTGAGTTTCCCAGGATAGAATTGTATATATGGACATGCATTATATTGTTCTCTCGATGACTTGAAATTATATGCTGGGAGCTTCATTTTAACACGAAACTGAAATTATTTGAGCAATTATCAGAAACGAAGTAAAGCTTCAGGTTCCCTTACTATAAAGACAAAAGGAACTCGATCGTTCTTAGAAAATTAAAACTGCAAACGAAAAACCCTAGTCAGTTTGGTGTAGATGAGTGTCTTCTTTCTTACCTTTTGACCATGAGGCAACAGTTCAGATACGATTGTCTTAATGTAGTGTAATATATTTTGATGAAAAAGCTGCAAACTGGAACGAATTTTCCATCCCCTTACACAAGAAAATTATGCAGTGACCATCTCTTCTCGCATCCCTTTGTCCCCTCATTTATCTTCAATAAAAATCATCTTTATATGACAATACATGGACTTTGAAATTAAATGCTTCAAAGTAATTAGCCGGATTTTTTCGGTAAAAAAATTGTTAAATTATCAGGATATATGGGACTTGACTTATTCTTATTTTGATTTCATTATGTCATTTGGCGCGCATAATGAAAGCCCGTGTAAATGAAAATAGTAATAAATTAAAAGAAATGAGACAGGATGGATTCTATTTTGAATGGTACGAGAATGAATGAGAATGCTTATATACCCAATGTCCGATTGTTTGTATCTACATTTTGTTTGAATTTTGCTATAGGTCCTGCACTTTTTTTTACTATTTTAGGTGCCTATACTTTTATTTTTTTGTATTCCCCAACCTAAAATATTAAAAAATAAAAATGTAAGAATCTAGAACATTAAAAAAAAGTGCATAAATTTATAACAAAACTTGAGCAAAGTATAGGGATTTGAAATTATGTTTTTCCCAAAAACAATGAAGGATTGATTAGAAAAATGTTAAAATACAAAAATACCACTCAAAATACCATCACTGCTGCTTTCATAGGGAGTATAAATTCTTTACCAAAAAAGGGAGTATAGACTATAGAAAGTAGGATGTTAGATGCTATTATAAGGATAGGCGAATGCAGTCTCAATTCTTTGGGACCTTTGAGCAACGTCTACCTCCAGGAGGTAGAGGTTGATGAAAGGTTGTTGGCAGCCTCTTTTGAATTCTTTGTGTATATTAGTGCAATAGATTCATTATCTTTTCCGTTAAAAAAATAAACAGGAGTACAGAAATTGCCTGTTTAAGAGTATAAATGGCACACCTTCTTTTCCCTTTAACTGCATCAATGATAGACACCAATTAAAGCATGAGGGGAAGCAATTTATGTCCCCAAACATACTGCTGATGGATTCCATGTCTGAATAATGCTCGAGGCTCATTTTCCGCTTGGTTTCTAGTGAATGATTAAACATGTCTACGAGTCTATTTAAGCAGGCTGAGATCATTGGGATGCTTCCATCACATTATCACACAAATTAAATGAGTGCACTGGCTGTTTTCGGGTTGGATATAATGTCATCCTGATTCCGTCTTGTCACTCATGTATGGTCTCAAACATTAATAGGCACTACCGCAAAACAACTAGAGAAAGATATTTCTTTTCTTTTCTTTTTGCGTTAAGCCGCTCAATATTTGAAAGATATATGATAACTTACTTAATCTGGGTTTAGGTTGACAGCGTGATAGCGGCGTTTAAGTTTTCTCAACAAGTTTTTAGTGCAACCGCATATTCAAAATTTAAACTCAAACCTGTTATTAGTTAAGTTAGCACAATTCTATACTAGTTAGGGTAGCCTCAAACTAGTTGGCAACTCAAAAAATGCATAAGAAGCGTCTCTGCAAAGGCCGACGGTCATAGTCAAGCAAACGAGAATCCAGTGGCTAGACCAGTCGAACCAAACTACTTCTGGATAGATATGACTTCCGCTTTGGTAGCTTGTAGTGTATCTCATCCATATACTGAGAGTAAATAGTAATTTTCTCTCAACTATAAGAAAAAATTATAAATCAAACTTCTAACCATTTGGTCTTAAAAGGTGGAAGGCCCCTTATATGACTCACATTAATGAGTTAGTTATGACAAAACAGTTTACGCATAAAGAATAAAGCAATTTTTTTCTCTATTTAAAATGCGATTCAAATTATTCTTTTTATTTGTTTGGTGTAATAAAAAAATAGATCTTTTATTCAAACTATAAGAAATGAAAAAAGAAAATCTCTTAATATCTCGTAATATTTTTTTTTAAAATATCTCGATCAAATTAAAAAAGCTAATCGGATACAAAAAGGCCTATTAAATTAAACAAAATTGCTAAGAAGTCACTTGGTCGGGAGAAAGCTACTCTTTTTCGAAAATTGAATAAACTATAGTTATTTAGTTTACTAAAAAGCTAATTTTATTAGAGCCCTACTACTTTCTAGTAATTAAAAAGGTATTTTTGTCTTTAACATTACAAAAGACTGAAAAAAAAAATTAAAAATGAAACAAGCCCTTATTTTTGAATTTTTGAAAAAAGTTAACTTCTAAAAAAAAAAAACTTTTTGGCCCCCCCCAAAAAAAAAAAAAACCTTTCTATGAAGTTATTGAGAGGTCCAGTAACCTGAACCAAATAAGAAACAACCCTAAGATTATAAAACTACAAAAATATTTGATAAATAAAAATTATCAAAATTCGACAACAATCATCAACAACTCTGTCTGGACTTTCGACAATGAGTTCACCATTGCAGCGGGCGTCTTTGTCTCCATGACTGTCGAACTTATACAGACCTCCACTTCACAAGACTGACGCTCTCCATTGAGCGGTAATTTTGAGACTTCCGCTTTGTAGGATAAAAAAGCATGCTTTCTGTCTTCTTTCCCTTCCTTATAGGCTTTCCAAAATAATAAAGCCAGGCATGCATCCAAGTATCGATCTTTCAAAGGGAAAGGGCTCTTTGTGTCTCTTTCTCGCCGGAGTCTTCTTTGTTGCCTTGATCCAACTAAAGGGGTTAAGTATCTTTAGTTTTCAATCCCCTGCTCTCCGCTGCCTCGGCCAATGATGTTTTCAAAGATGCCATTGTCATCAACGGTTATGTAAAGCATCTTCTGTTTCATGACATCGCCCGTCTAGTGCAGATTCTACATTTCTCTAGTTGATTGGTTAGGGGACTATTATCTAGTCATGCGTACATTGATTTTTATCAAATACCCCTCTAATTATTTGCATTGAAAATAATCTTATTGATGGAAACTGATCGTTTTAATACACGCAACCAAAAAAGATGATTTTAAAAAAATTATAAATTTGAGAGACAAAATAGATTGATGTATGCTTGGTATTTACAACGAAAACAAATCATTTAACTAGCGTTTGTATTTGGAACAGGAGGGGATATAATTTATCTTTAAAATTCATATAATTAAAAAGAAGAAGCTGAAGCCGTTAGAAGATGTGATTCCTTTCAAAAAAAAAAAAAAAAAGACTAACATCACACGCTTTGTGCTCTTCTTCACTTATTTGTTTGCGGGAATAGATGTCCAAATGACAATGGCTCTTGAAACATTCTTTTAACCAAACTTTTGACCATTATTTGACTCTAAAATTTGTCTAAATGCTGTCATTTTCATTAAAACGGGAAAGTTCTACCGACTCAAATCATGTGGGACACGACCTCCAATTTATTTAGAAATCATAACAAAATGTTCACTTGATTAAAGTGACAGTTTCATTTGACAGAACTTTTAATTTGTGAGGAAAACTAAATTGGTAAAAACAAACTTGAGACACCAAAGTAAAAGGTAACCCTCTCAGCGATTAAACATTTGACCTAAACAAACTCAAGATAATCATTAACGATTGTCAATGCTAATTTTTGCGCTAGAGTTGCATTTTATAGTGAATTGTACTTACGTTACATGAAATCTACTGCAGATACCATCATAATCCAAGGAAGAACTAGAAAGAAAAATAGATATGGAAACAGTCATAATTTTGAGTTTGTTGTAACATAAAAAATGACAAAAAAATATAATGTTAATACTTCTAGTAATGGATCTACACCAAGGGGTGTTGGTGCGAGCTTTGGGGGGGGGGGAATAGAGACGGAAGGGGAAGGTTTTATTAAAACGATTCTCTGATCGGATGTTATAAAGAGGGAAGCACAATTGAGGATTTTCAACCAACCCTTGAAAATTCTGCATACTTGCATAATCTCCACTCTCCAGTTTTTTTTTTTTTTGGTGGGATTTTGGAGGTTGAAATTTTCTCGAAGAGGCGAAGAGAAAATTACCATCAAACCATCCCCTCCCCTCCCTCCCATTTTCTTTGGTTCCCTTCCTTTCTCCTTGACTACCCTCTTGACCCACGAATATACCACATTGCTTTGTCATATATTTCACGATTTCCACACAAAATTCTGACATTTTGAATGAATTCTTCCAGCATGAAATCAGTAATAGAACGATACGGCAAAGCTAAGGAGGAACATCATCAACTTGGAGGTTCAACCTCTGAAGTAAAGGTATTTCATGAGTTTCTTAAGCAGCTGACACTTTCCAAGTTTCACACTGACATTATTTTCCAATTAAGCAAGCCATTTATCATGAGACCCAAAAAAAAAAATCAAGAACTAATTGAAGAAGACGTCAATTTTTCTACATGGTAACTTTAAGTTAAAAGGGAGAGGAATCCAGGAAAACCGAGAAGCATACACTGTATATAGTATCCCAAAAGGAAAAAAATGAGGAAATTTAAATTTCGATATATGGAGTATGTGATTTAGATTTCCATAGTAAGCAGCAATCTAGTTACTGAAGAGATCACCTCGCCTTAAGGCACTGTCATAAAATGGTTTATCAAGCATCAGCAATGATAAATTACTGAGCAATAAGAATTGAACTTATTAAAAAAAACATGTTTAAATTATGACCTGCAATCAGTATTTTGTGATGTAAAAAAGTTTTATTCATGAAATATCATCCTTTTATGAAAGACATTAGATATCTATCTAGCAAAGAAGAAATCACATTGAGGACTTCCTTTAAGGGGAAATACAGGCATGCAATGGTAGTTTTTTTGTTGATTCATCCATAAATTATGCACCCAAAAAAAAATCTACCATGCTATTACCTAAATGTCTCAAGAAATTGGAAATACTATGGTAAAATTAAAGTACTAATCCCTAGTGTCTTATATTCCTTTAACATCTAAGTGCACCGTGTTTTGCTCTCTGTCTCTCTCTCTCTCTCTCTTCATTTTCTAGTTTTGGCAAAGGGAGGCAGCAATGTTGAGGCAACAGTTGCAGAACTTGCAAGAGAGTCACCGGTATCTTCTTCCTTCTACAAAATACTCCCTCTAGTGATCTTATTTATAAATCACTTTTAGGATGTTTCACTGGAATCAAGGAAAATCTTAAACCTTAATAACTTTATCTTAAAATTTAATAGGTTTTCACCTTTATCACTAATAAATATTTTTCAATTTCATTACCGATAATTTTATTCAAAACATCTAATAAGGGCAAAAATATAAAAATAAGCATTGAAAATTGGCAAGTACTCTGCAAATAAAACCAAAGGATTAAATATCTACTTTCTTAAGATAAGTTTAGAAATATTGATGTTAAAAAAGAACATGTTAATCTACTCCTTTAAAGTCAGGTTACAATTTTGACAAAGCGAAACAAGAAAATTATTCATTCAAGGTCACAAATTGGATTTCTATTAGTAACATTATCAGATGTACGTCCATATAAACTGTCAGAGAACTAGTGTATGCAACTTTAAATGCGTAAGAAAATTATAACATTATCAGACATATGTCCATGTTAAACTGTCAAAAGAACTAGTGTATACAACTTTAAAATTATAAGACATAAGAACAATTATTTCACCCTCCAATGGCACCAAATACAAAGAGGATTAATAAAAAAAGAATACAAATAACAGGTTTAATGAATATTTTCTTCAAACTAGAGAGATCCATTTTACTAAATCCCTCAAGTTATATTTGTCTTAAAAAGAAATCCCACTATTTATATGAAAATGTGAGTACTGAATTCACTACTAACGAGAATACAAAGATAAACATGAAATACATTACCTGGCACATGAAGATTAATAAGACCTAATCACCTCTAATTGAAAATTATGCAAACGGGCAACAGAAAGTGAATTGCTATTGCTGTTATAGAGTACATAAAGCTGAGAGCCTTGATGATGTATTGTTCAAGTCCTTGCTAGATTATATGTATCCCTTGTCTCTATCCTTAAGAATAATTTCTCAATCGTCAAAGCAAAAGGCTCAAACATATTTATTGTATGATTAACAGGCAAATAATGGGAGAAGAACTTTCAGGTTTGACTGTCAAAGAATTACAGAGTTTAGAAAGCCAGTTGGAAATTAGCCTTCGAGGTGTCCGTCTAAAAAAGGTTGAGCAATTAGCTTTTTGATACTCAATATAGCATAAACTAATCTTTTCTTTCTATAATAAAAACTGAAGTATTAACATGATTTGACTGATGCAGGATCAACTTTTAATGGATGAAATACAGGAAATAAACCGAAAGGTCAGTTCCAAGACAAAAGATTCCTTACCAGTTCTACAATTCTTCATTAATTCAAACAATGCTCATTTTCTGCAGGGAAACCTCTTGCGTCAAGAAAATGTGGAATTGCACAAGAAGGTAAACCTAATTTGTCAAGAAAACAAGGAATTAAAAAAGAAGGTAGTGGTTTAAATTTTAAATAACAAAACAGACTAATAGAATATCAGAAGCTTGTGATCCAATTTTTAAATCATGATCATCTATGTGATTTGTTAAGAACTTTAACAGAGACATTTCACTGATCCAGGTCTATGGAATAAGAGATGGAAATGGAGCAAACAGAAATTCTATTCTCACGGATGGCCTAGGCATAGGGGAGAATTCGCATGTGCCAGTGAATCTCCAGCTTAGCCAACCTCATCAGCAAAACCATGAGTCGCCTTCAGGAGCCACAAAGTTAGGGTAAGATCCTGATTATTTGGCTAGCAGGTCATCAAATCATGAAACATTATAGAAATCCTAATGTCAGATTTTTTGTGACTGCTGCAGCAGATTGCAACTGCACTGACGCAATTACAAGAGAATTTTGTATATTGATTGCTATCATGAAAATGGTCTCAGATCTGGAATGTATGATTTTGATACTCAAGTGCATTAATACAATACAAACTAATTTAAAATTATTTTTAACAAAATAATTCAAGCATGCACGTGATAAACAATGAACATGGCATCTAATGTAAAGTTATGACTAAATAAATGAAGAAATTCTTCACATTGCATAGATATGAATTGCATTCAGGCCTTTTATTGTGTTAAAAAATTACACTCAAATGAGGGAAGTAGGCAGAGTGAAGATAGCAGTAAAAAGGAAGATGTTGACCATCCTTGTACGAGAAAGCCTTTCATTTTATGGGCATACAATTGCAACTTTATCAAACTCTAATACTATTTTACTGACAAAAAGAAATTCACCAATTTTCTAAATGTGCCCAAATTCAATATATCTAACACACTACTACAAAAATAGCTTATGGGAGTGCTTAAAAAGAGCTCTTATAAGTAAAGTATACGGGAACACTTTGAATAGGTTTTGCTTATGGGAGCGCTATTCGTAAAGCACTCTTGTAAGATTCAAAAAATTAAAAAGAAAACTAGCAAACATACAGGAGCACTCTTTTAGAGTGCTCCTGTATGTTGGGATATAGGAGCACTCTTGTATCTTTATTCTCTAGAAGTGCACTCTTATGAGCGCTCCCATAGCTCTTTGTTTTTATTTTTTTAAATTTAATTGTCTTTTCACAAGTCTTTTATTGCTCATTATAAATGACAACTATTCCATATCAATATCAAAAAAATCAATCTAACAACAAATAGTTAAACATTAGAAGTTATATACAACTAAAGAATTTGAAATTAAAACAAACTTGTATCAAATTTCTAGCTTATCTAATCGCTAGCTAGTCTATCTTACAAATAAAATATTTGGTATTTTTCTAACATTAGACGTTACCTATCACAAATAACTAATTATATATTCTGACAACTTCTCAATTACATCTTTTATTTACTCCATGGTTAAATGCGAAGATCTTGCTCCAGCAAAATACTACAAGAAAAATCAACATATAATTTATGATCTATGCCATATGTATGACATGAATTTAATTTGAAATACTTACATTTGACGGAATGATCAGCTCTTGTTATATGATTACTTCTTTTATAAACTTCAACACATAGTAACTACACTCCTAAATTTTTATTTGTGTAAGTACTTATAAAAACAATAAAATAAGAAGTAATTATCCAAACATGTTAGAATCAAAATAGAACTAATTAACATTTTAGACATCAAATTATATACATAATTTGGATCTACAGATTAAATCTGAAGAAAATTTGATAAAGCCTCCTCTATAACTTAGACATTCTAATTTTATTTTTTGAAATTCTACACCAATCTAAAACAACATATTCAAAATAATAAATATAAAATATTAATCAAGCAATCATTTATATGTATATCAAACATGTTTTATTAAGCGACTAATACAAATCTTTATTTTGTTTCATGTATTATACTCATAGAGGTAGACCTTCACCACCTTAGGATCAATTATAGAACAATTATAATTAATTTCAAGCTTAATTTTACCTAACATGAGAGTAATTTAATGTCAATAAAAATTTAACCAAAGTCATAGATTATTATTACCAAACCTATATTATTAATACATAAATATATATAAAACAACTTATCAACAAAAATATGATTATATAATTTTTTAAAAAATTTAAAACGAACTTTCTGCGCACGGCTGGATAGGAACGGTGGCAAGGATTCGAATCTCTAATGACACACAACCGGAAGATGGCAAGCTTCTTTATGCAATTTTGGTGAAGCGACATGATTTTGAACAGCTACAGCGAAGTAGATTTCAAACATATCCAAGCATATTCGATGACACAATTTCAAACTACTCCAAAGACACAGATATCGAATAGCTCTTGGGGCAGATTCAACGATCAATAGCTAGATGACAACGATCTTCTCCCTGCAGTTTTGGTGACGCGATGAATAGCTCTTTGCGCTGCAACAGACGGTGACCACTGTGACGCACTTCACTGCATAGCAAAGAGAAGTCTCCAATGAGTGTTGACGGCTGCCGTAGAGGAGAAGTTGGAAGGTGGGAATGGAGAGGGAGGGTTTTGGGAGAAGAAGAACTAAAAAGTCAAGCGTTTTGAACTGTCTATCGAGTGTTCAAGGCTTCTTAAAACTGAAAATAATAAAAATTTAAAAAAAAATTATAAACAACCTGTATAGGAGTGCTTATAAAATAAGTGCTCCAATATAGACCTTTAGAAGTGCTTTATTTTAAAGTGTTTGTATAATTTTTTTTTAATATAACTTATAGGAGCGCTTGTCTTATAAGCACTCCTAAAGGTATATGTTTTTTTTTATTTTTTTAATATAACCTATAGCAGCGCATTAATTTTTTCATTTTTTTAAATATAATCTATAGGAATGCTTATAAATTAAGTGCTTCTAAAGGTATATTTTAAATTTTTTTATTTTTTTATCGATACATATAGGAGCGCTTTGTTAGAAAGTACTCCTAAATAATTTTTTTATTAATGCACTTTTTGAGCGCTCCTATAACTTCTGCATATAATAATGGGAGCGCTTTTCTTCGTGAGTGCTCTTAAATATGCGCTCTTAAAAGCATGTTTTGTAGTAGTGATAGCTGACAATAGAAAAATGATATTCCACTTGGTATATCAAAGAATCTAGTCCAATGATAATTTGAATGTAGACAACTGAAATTATTTAGAATTAAATTTTCACTGTACATAGAATAAGAAGAGTGAATAAATATGGAATAAAGTTGTGGCAGAATTCAGAACACCTATCTTTAAATTATTAAGAATCAAGAATTGAAAGGTGTATGGGTAGAGTTAACTTGAAACTGCTGCAAAAGTTTTGCACATATCCATTCAATCTTAGATGCTTTTGCATTGTTGTCATCTATTCAGGAACTATAGCACTAACATTATGATAATAGATATATTCTAAATCCCTAGTTTTACCGTATGATCATATCACAAGCAGGCCTTGCAAATCTCAAGAATACAAAAATCACAAAGACAATCAAAGCAATACCTTTAAAGGGGAAAAACATGAAGATGGACACAGAAAAACTTTAGTATATGTGAAATCTTATAAGGAGCAAGGGTAGGGATGAAAAAAAGATTTTTAATCTAGAGTCTTAGTCAATAATCTAAATCTATATATAATACAAAATGTATATGAAGTCACACTATTACAAGCCAAAGCCACGTAAATTTTTAGTTTTGACTTTTGGTGAGGCAGTTAGATGTCATCTTCATAATATGTTGAGAGCTATCATTGAAATAGGAGATAAATTTATTATACAACCTGATGGCTCAACAATCACTCTTAAAATTCATTGATATGATAAGTTCTACCTTTTTTTTAAAGATTGTGTTGGTGCCATAGATGGAACACACATACGTATGCAAGTATCTGCTAAAGATGTATTGACACGAGAAGACAAGCTCAAAATCCCTAAAGGTAAATACTACCCTGTGGATGTTGGCTTTATGCTAACAAGTGAACTTATTACACCTTATAGAGGAGTTTTTTATCATTTGAAAATTATTCATAAATAAATCCATCCTAAAATTTTAAGGAGTTATTCAATTTGCACCATGCATCATTAAGTATTGCAATTGAAAAAGCTTTTGGTGTTTTGAAAAAAAGATTTGAAATTTTAGCCAATTCACAAGAGCTTAATAATGGAGTAAAAGCTTATAAAATTATCATTGGGATATGTTGCATTCTTTATAATTACTTGATGGGCATGGACCTTAGTAAAGATCTCATAAAACAAGTAGATACTAAACTTGCAACTCAATCTAAATCTGAATCAAATAATCATGATCGATGTGGTGCTAATGAGGAGGCTACTTGAGGAGAGCTTATTAAAGACTAGAGCAAATCCGATATAGATAGATTATCAAATCAATAATAATCATTTGGGTTTAACTTTAATGCTTTTACTTCAATAATCATTTGGATAGATTTCATGCATTGTTATTTGGATACATTATTATTTAATGCATTATAATTAGTTTGAACCATGATATTTTATTTAATATTTTCTAAGCATTTATCATGTGACGTATACTCACATTTGGCTATTTTGCACTTTATAGATACCTCCAAAAGCAAGCAACAATGAGCAATGCTTGAATTGGACAAGAGCAATAGATGATGCACTTGTTGATGCTTTTCTATATCAACATGATATTGGCAACAAAGTAAATGAGACATTCACCACTTTACATGATTTCATTATGAAATAGTTAACTGCTAAGTTTGGCATTCCTTCAACAAAGAAGGGATTAAGAATCGGTGGAAAACTTTAAAGAGAAACTTCTTTAAAATTTATGACGTCTTTAAAGGTGGATTGGGTGGATTCAGATGGAACCCATCAACTCATTTATAGAGTGCAAAAAATAAAGTTTGGGATGCACTTATTGAGGTTAGTTCATCTAACATTCTACGTGAAGATTTAAAAAAAACTCAAATTTATATAAATCTACTTTATTTTTTTCCATTTAATAATAGATTTTGTTTGAAACTTGTCATTATTGTCCAAGCCTAAATCAGGAAATTGGAGACATACTCTTGATAAACTATAGAAATTTATGTCACCTTAACACATTTTGTGCATATCTCACACTTAGGTTTAAATGACAAAATCTTAGTGTAAATTATGCATAATTCTTTATATTGGTATAATTAGTCTTAAATTCACAAAATTCTTACCTTCTTAGATTGTTAGAGCATTATTTGAGAAGTAAAGAAGGAGTTATGAAGTTATTATACTAAGAAAATGTCAAGATAAAGTGTGAAGAATTAAGCCTCAGCCGACAATCCTTCGGCCTCAGCTAAAAGCCAGAAACAAAACTTAATTGACACATTTTGGCTACAGTTGAGCAAGAATTGGTTGCAACTAAGAGGTCCTGACCAAGAGGTTTTAGCTGTAGCTAAGGAAGAATTAGTCGCAGCCAAAAGCCTTTTACTAAAGCTGTGCGTTTTTAAATCAAACTTGAAGCTATGGTTACATATGCAAAATTCTTATACTTTAAAGAGAGAGCTACGACTTCTAGAGGTCTTTTGAGGCTTGCTTTGCTAGGGTTTGGGTTCTTTAAAGGAGATTTGGCCAAGGATTGAAGATTTGAAGAGATTCAAGTGGATTTCCTTTGATTTTTCTTCTTCTCTTCCCTTTTCTCTCTTTGTTTCTAATATGATGCCGTACATTATGTCATTTATGGCTCTTTTCTAAACATGAGTAGCTAGTTTTCTTGTTCTAGGACTATTTCAAACCTTTGTATGGATTAAGACTTAAATATTTCTCTCTTTTAATAGTTATTGATATATATGTGTTTATTTTATCCTTTGCTTAATGTTTCTAAATACTTGATCACCATTTGAATTGTTTTGTTCACTTGAGTTGTGCTTAAGAGAGCTAATTTAGATGTAGAATTTGGATGAAATAGTGTTGAACTTGAAATTTACAAAGTTAAATGGATGGTTTTTTTTTTTGGTAAAATAGAGATATTTTATTAACTCTTCATAGTTTTATTAAGATTGGAGCTTAACAATTATTTTCACTAATCATTTCCAAGAGATTACGAACTTTCAATGTTTGCAAATATATGCTTGATTTTATCTTGATAAAGCTTTTTCAAGTAAATTAGAATATTAGACTAATACTTATTTTCATTAAAAATTTATTTGAGAGGAATTAATTTAAGTTTTATGAAATACAAAGGGGAGAGATAATCCTAAATCCTCACCTCTTGAAATTAAGGTTTTAACAAATTTTAATCCTTTAAAATGCTTCTTAATCTAATTTTCATTACTTTTATACAAGCCTACTCTTGATTTTGCTTAGCCTAACTCAAAAGCTTAATAGTGAATTTTCAATACTTATTTGCCTAAATCCTCATGAGAACAATAACTCTAAAATATTCTACACTTTGACATCTCGTATGCTTGCAGTAACACTAAAGGGTGAAAAACTTCTTTTCCCAATTATGAGAAGATGGTCATCTTTTATGGAAATGATAGAGCAATGGGGGAAGGATCTTAAACTACTAATGATATGTGAAAATGTTGCCACCAAATCAATGAAGATAACCAAAATGAAACAATTGGTAACATGGAAAATTTTACTATCGCGAAAGAGGTGGTAACAAATCATCTCGAAACTCTTGATAATAGTGTTAATCAAAATAACTCATTGTAGAATGCCCCATTGATGCCCCTAAGGAATTGCTACAAGAAATTATGAAAGACATTTGAATGTCCCTTTAATTCATATAGGGAGATTTTTAGGCTATTTAAGTGTGAGTAGACATTAAACGGTGTGGGAAGTCTCACGTCGAATAAAGTTAGGCTTAATAATTAAATATAAAATAAAGAGGAAGGATCCATAAATTTAACCCTTGAAATTTTGAGTTAAAATGTGGCATTCTTTTGCTACTCTTACCTGTCTCTCTTTTCTCCCCATTTCCAAGTGGTCGTTCCTAATTAAAGAGCACTAACATCCAGGCATGATTAAATTAAGGAAAAATAATAACAACATTCTTTCAAATTATATAAATAGTAATTTAATCTCTCAAAATATCATAATTCCTATGAAGTCCCTAGGGACCTTTATGTTAATAAATTTTAAAGTAAAAAGATCATTCTACCCTTACTAAAAATAATAAGCCCCCAATTATAACTTTTGTTTAAGGAATAATAATTTTTATTTTATAAATCGTAAAAGTTAAACAAGAAATCATAACTTATCAAATATAATTTTTATTATTGAAAAACAAGCTCCAATCACAACTTTTGTTTAAGAAATAATAACTTTTATTCTGTGAATTGTAAGAGTTGTACAAAAAATCATAATTTATTAAGTGTAATTTCTATTATTGAAAAACAAGCTCTCAAAATAACAAACCTTATTTACAAATTTTATTCAAAAAATTGTGAGAATTGAACAAGAAATTATAACTTGTTAATAAGGATAAAATGATCTTTTCAATTTAAAATTTATTGACAAAAAGGTTCTTAAAAATTTTAATAAAATTATGATATTTTGAGAAATTAGATTTTT